GGGGTGGCACTGGTTGGGATTTAAGGTCCCTTCCAAACCAAACCCTTCTGTGATTCTATGAATAATACAATGTCTACAATACTAATAATATAATTATTATTATTTTATTGGCTAATTTGTGCATGAGAGGTGAGCACAGAGCAGGGCAGTGAGAGACCTGCCTGTCAGGCTACTCAACACCCAAAATGGGACTTTCCTTCCCTTTCTCCTCCCACCAGGATCACGCCTGGTAGTGCCCAACCCCTCCACAAAGCCAGTCCTCTCATGCCCCCAGGCCCAACCCCTCCGAGCTCTGCTCCGGGGGCACCTCACGAGCTGGAGAAGGAAAAGACAAAAAACCTCATTAAAAAAAAAAAAAAAACAAAACAGAATTAACAAAATGAATGTAGATTTTATTTCTGGCAAACAGCACATGCTGCCACTTCACTGAGAGCTCTGAGTCACCCCTGAGAAAACAAGTGCCATGAGTGCAAATTTATCCTTCCTTCTACCCATTTCTCCTCCCACCTGATCTTGGCCAGTCCTGCTTGGTTGATAGTTGCAGTGCCACAGGTAAAACATATCTATTTTATATATATATATATATCAAAATATATATATATATAAAAAAGATGCATCTGTTGTCAAGCAGACGTGAAATTTCCCTGGAAATTCTGGAAGTTTCCTTGGATAATCCCATTGTGAAGGGGTTTGCTGGGTCTCAGTAGCCACGAGGTGCTCGAGGACAGGCAGTGTGGGAATGATGGAAAAGCAGGAGGGGCAGGAAAGGTGAGAGCCTCGATGTTGGTGTCTGGGGTGGAGACTGACACTGAAAATGCTCCTGAGCTCCTAAAATCATGGAATATCTGAGCTGGAAGGACCCACAAGGATCATCCAGTTCAACTCCTGGTCCTGCCCAGGGCACCCCAACAATCCCCCCCTGTCCCTGAGAGCGTTGTCTCAATCCCCCATTAGTTGTTTCCCTTCATTCTCTACAATAAACAAACTTTACATTTTATTTTCAAACAGCAGCCTCTATTTTTATACAATTTTTTTTGGCCATATTGTCCCTTCATTTTCTTTAAAGTGAGAAAATCACTTCTACATAACTCACAGGGTCCATAACTTAGGATCATGAATTTTATGGGGTTAATTCTTAGAGAAAAAAAAAATGGAGCTGCTAAAGGTGATTATTGGGGAATTATGAATATCCTTTTATATGTCCCTGGGTAGTTTACCTTTGCAATTTCTTCTATTAATTAAGTTTAAACTGTTTCTTTCTCTTGACTTTCCTTTATAAATTAAAGGAAACCTAATTTTTCCTATAGCTTAAGACATTTTCCTGCTCCTTTATTGCAAGTGTTGGTAATTAAAGATGCTGCCTCTTTATTTTTCATTTGCAGCTTTGCTTCTGTGTCTCTTCCCTGTTCCTTTAATTTTTGCACCAGGCTCTGGGTCAACATTTAACTCTTCTTGCTTCTGTTTCCCTTTAAGATTTCCTCTAAGAAAATCCCAATTCTTTCATTTTCTTTCTGCATTCTTTCTTTTCTTTCTTTCTTTCTTTCATTCACCCCACGAATGCAGGGCATGGTTTTTCTCTCCCAGGAGAAAAGATTTAGGATTTCTTCATCATTTCCTATATTTTTCAGCACAACTGGGAGTTTTGATACCTTGCCCTGTGCAGGTTGGGTTTTCCCTTTAAAAGAAGAAACCCTTTTGCAATCACTTATTTCTTGTGTAACTGCTCTTCCATCTTTTAGGGGGCAACATTTAGAGGTTTCATCTGTAGCTTATTTTCCTGGGGCTTTTGTCTGCTCCGTAAATACATTTACTGGTTCAACAGTTTGTTTTTCTGAGAGATCTGGAGACTTAATTGTGTGTTTTAGAGCTTGATCACCCATTGTAACACCTTGGGTGTGTTTGCAGAGTATTGATTTCCAACCTTTCCCATAGGATCAGGCCGAGAGGAACAGCTGATCTGCTGGAAGGTTGGCTGTTATCCATAGGGATGTCCCCAAAGGTTCATGGCTGGTACAAACCTCTCTCTAAATATTAAATAACTCCTTGGCTGAAGGTTGTTCCCGTCAGGATTCACCATCCTTAATCCCGAAACAGTGGAGAGGGACACCTGGGATGGGGATTGGCAGGTGTGACTGTGACTATTGCACATTGGGAATGCAATTCCTGCCAGCTGCTTCCCACTGCAATCCCAAAAAAACCTCCCTCAGGTCTGCAGGAGGCCAAGCAGCTCCTGTTCTCCAGAGCTGACCTTTCCCAGCAGCTCCTGTTCTCCAGAGCTGACCTTTCCCAGCAGCTCCTTGGCCGGGAGGGCTCTGTGTCCCCAGAAAATCCATTCCTGGGGCTGCTCTTTGGAAAGGTGTTTGTTTTCCAGCTTGTTGTGATCTCCTAGAGGGGCTAAATAAAAATCTCCTTTGGGGCTAAATAGAAATCCCGGAGTTCCAGAATCCCAGAACCATCAGGGCTGGGAGAGACCTTCAGGATCATCCATCCCACCACCAGGATCACCCTAATCCATGTCCCCAAGGCCACATCCAGACACTTCCAGAGGCAGGGACTCCACCACCTCCCTGGGACACTTATTCCAAGGCCTGACCACTCTGACAAGGATGGTTTTTTTTCCCTAATCTCTGATTTTAATCAGTTTGAGGCCTTTTCCTCTCCTCCTTTCCCTTGGGACATGGCAGCAGAGCCCGATCCTCTCCTGTCAGGGAGTTGGGGAGAGCAACAAGGTCCTGCCAAGAAATGCTCTGCTCCCCTCGGCCCAGGCTGGAGAAATGGGAGCAGGAGGAGCCTGCAACCCTCCAGCTTTGTTGCCATGGTTTTCTGCGTCGCTGTTGCAGAAGAAGCTTTAGAGGATAAATGAGGGTGTTGCCTCCCCGCGGCGCTGAAATGCAAAAGCAAACACGGATATTTCGCCACCTTCGACGCTTTGCTTCTGGGGAAATTCACTCCCCGGATTCTGGGGAAATTCACTCCCCGGCCTCTCGGAGATCACAACAAGCTGGAAAACAAACACCTTCCCAAAGAGCAGCCCCAGGGATGGATTTACTGGGGACACAGAGCCCTCCTGGCCAAGGAGCTGCTGGGAAAGGGCAGCTCTGAGTCAGATCTAGAGAACAGGAGCTGCTTGGCCTCCTGCAGACCTGAGGGGGGTTTTTTGGGATTGCAGTGGGAAGCAGTCGGCAGGAATTGCAGCCCCGATGTGCAACAGTCACAGTCACACCTGCCAATCTCCACAACCAGGGGTCTCCCTGAGAGGGAGTTTGTGGAGATTGGGGAATGGAGACTGGGAGAGGCACCACTGCTGAGGCCACATGTCACTGCCAAGCCCTGTCCCCTTGTGATAAATAATTGTGATTCGTGAAACAAATGGGTGATTACATCAAAATAAAACAGACGGATTGTAAAACTTAATTACACCCCCATAAAGAAATAAAACAGACCCTTACAAGGTCAAGGGGCCCTAAACCTCCCTGCTGTCCTAAGAATAAAATATGGTAGAACTTCAAATCTTTTAGGCACCTGTTCATCCAAGAATGCAGGAATTATGACTGGTTGTAGAGATAACCCTTTAGCTTTAGCTGTAAGAAAACCCATATATTCAATACTTAGCAAAAAACTGTAAAATGTATATGTATATGAGATAATTAATATGCATGAAGTAGCTAAGATAAATGCCAAATGTACCCTGTAGTAGGTGTGCAGATTTGGGAAACTTGTCCCCGTTTCTGTAACCCAGCTGGCTGCTTGCTTTTACCATATAATAAACTCCTATTCAAAAACTTATAGAAACTCAAGGCTTTGTTTATCACACCCATAAAGCAGAGGGAAGGGACAGCAGCAGTTGCAGCAGCAGGCCCTGGGTTTGGCCCTGGCAGAGGTCACTGATTGCAACAGCTCCTCTGGGCAGGGGCAGCTCCCAGCTCCTGACAGGGCTGATCCCCACAGCAACACCAGT